ATGCACACTCACGTGTGATTACACACACATGCACACTCAGGTACACATATGCATGCGTGCACACCCTCACACACTTGTGCACACACATTTACACGTGCCATGCACACACATGTGTGATTACACACGTGCACACTCAACTACATACAGACAGTACATATGCACACACCCTCACACACTTGTGTACACACATTTACACGTGCCATGCACACTCATGTGATTACACACACGGACACACAGGCACATACAGCACACATGCACACATCCTCACACACTTGTGCACACACATTTACACATGCCATGCACACTCACGTGTAATACACACATGCACACACTCAGGAACACACATTACACATGAACATACCCTTGCTCATTGTACACACACGTGATTACACACACATGCACACACTTAGGAACACATATTACACATGAACATACCCTTGCACATTTTGCACACACATTTACACACACCATGCACACACATGCAATTACACACACAGGTACATACACACACACCACATATGTACACACGCCCTCACACACTTGGGCACACACATTTACACACACCATGTGCACTCACATGATTACACACACATGCACACATATGCATGCACGTGTGCACACACACAAATACACTCATGCCTACACACATACACATGCACACACACAAAATAAATGTACACATTCATGCACACAATGCATCCACATGCACACATACAATTACACTCACAGTACACGCCCATTTATGCAATTACACTTGAGTACATGCATACACTGGCACGTGCTGGCTCACACACAGGCCCCTGTGTCAGAGCCCAGGGATGGGTCGGCACGCCCGAGGTTGAAGGTGCCCGTGCCAGTGGGCAATGCCGGGGGTTGGCAATGATGATGAGTCAGGAGCAGGACCCGAAAGCCGACGGCAGTTGCGATGCCGGCCGGGGTGGGGCTCCAGCTCAAGGATGGAGCAGAGGCGAAGCTGGCCGGGCGTCCTTTCCCTCAGCCAGCTTCTGCCCAGCCTCTTCCCTCCCCGCATCCCCCGTCTTCTCCCCCACCCGGCAGGGCAGCTGCACTGGTGGAGTACATCTGGCCTTGGCCACTCAAGTCTGGGCTGGGGAAATGTGATGATTAGGCTAAACGTGAGCCAAGCCCTTCCTTCCGGTGCCTCGGGGTGGGGAGGAGGGCACCGGGGCCAGCCCTCGCCCTCACGCTCCTTTCCCCAGGAAGGGCTCCAGCACCAGACACATTTACACAGGGCTGCCCCCCTCACTGTGAGCCCATCACAGCCTCCCTCCCACCACCTCCATCCCTGTCGCTCCACCTTGACCTCAGGGGGACTGGGTCATGTCTGCCCAGCACCTGCTCTGCTACCAGTCAGCTCTTCTCGCAGCACTGAGGTGATTCTGGAAGTCATGCCCTCTCAGGGTGGGGGCTGGGGAGGTGTAGAACCTGTTTACACCCCTCTTCCCTGAGCTGTCCTGGCCACCCAGGACTGGTCTCCACGCATGGCCTGGCAGAGCTGTGTAAGCACCTGCCCTTGGGCTCCGGGTGAGGAGCTGGATAAGAAGGTGGCCGCTCTTCCTTTCCACAAGGGTAGGATTCCAAGCCCTCTTCAGCCCCATGCTGGCCCTATCCCTGTACACGGAGGAGTGGCTGTTGCCCAGGTCTATGTCCCATGTCCCCTGAGCCCGAGCACTGACCCCCTTGGCCCACCTCCAGCCCCTCCTGCAGGTTCCGCTGTGCTGGCTGAGCAGAAAGCCAGGCTCTGATGGCTCAGGAGAGGGAAGGGCAGATCCCTGCCCGCCCAGACCTAGCCACTACCTCAACCTCTCTGGGACCCGCGATCAGGACCCCTCGCTGTCCTTTGAACCCTTGGCCCCTCAACTGCACCTGCTCTACCCGTGTGCTCCCCTGAGAGGGAGAGGGGCTGAGCTCGCCAGCCAGGGACCGTCCTGCCGGCACCACCTCTCCAGCCCGCCCTTGCCCCCTGCCGCCACCCGGACTCACTTTGAGGGAGTAGGCCAAGGCGATGAAGCCCAGGCAGCAGAAGTTGAGGTAGACGAAGTTGAAGATGGACCATAGGTAATAGTCGTTCACCTCGGTGGTGTCCGGGTAGACCTCGATGACGGTCGTGGGGTTGGTCATCGTCTTCTTCTCGGCTAGGTGCTTGCAGGCCGGGGGCGCGCCGGTGGCCCGCACGCTGTCGGTCTTGCTGCTCTTGGACTCCATGGGGAACAGTGTGGGCGCCATCGGGGGAGAGGCCGAGGGCTCAGGGGCAGGGGCCGCTGGAGCCTGCAGGGCGGGGGGCTTGGACACGCAAGCGAAGCAGCCCTTGGGCGAACCTGCCGGGGGCCTCGGGATCCAGAAGGCCCCGTCCAGGGGGACTCGGGCTTCCTGGGCGCCGTCCGTGGTGCTGGCCGGGGCTCCCAGCGGGGCTGGGCACTGGCCGGGGCCCTGGGCCTGGAGAGGAGAGAGTGAGAGCGAGCTGGGCCCGGCCCACCGGCCAGCACCCACCCTCACGCCCGGCGGCCCTGAGAACAGCCCCAGTGGAGACGGAAATCTCTGCGGGGGCCGCCAGCTGCCAGCCTGCCACCTGCCTCCCCCACCCGCCCCGGTGCCTCGGCGGCCACAGACGATGCCAAAGCCCTTCGCAGCAGCCTTGGCAGGGACCTGGGGCTTTCATCACTTTGCCATCTGCGCACAAACACTCACCCACTGACACACACAACAGCACCCCCCCAGAAGCACACCAACGCTGAGACTGACACTGTTGCAAAACACAGAGTGCCCCAGCACCCCAAACAACCCCGCACACATGGGGCGCCGGACCCACAGCCACGCTGCCTCAGCCGCCAACCGGCAGAGCGAGCAGAGCGGCCAAAGCACCTGTCCACGGCGCCCGCGGACACCCGATACCGCCACGGGCACAGCCACGGGCACCGCCACGGACTCCACCGCGGGATCTCCAGACCCCGGGCGCACCCGCGGGCGCGCTCAGAGCCACTGAGGAGTAAACAGCTCCCCACACAAGGCGACGCAGGCTCAGCCACGAGCGCTGAGAACCGGCACAAGTGCGGGGTCTCCAACTCGTGCGCACCGCCCCCCACCTCCAACGTGGGGACCCCAAGCGCGCACACTTGCCCGGAGCCACGCACCCCCGGGCCATACACAGACGCACAATGACAGGCTGCGAAACGAACACTTCTCCAACGCGGCACCAAGTCGCTCGCACCCTGCGCCACCCCGCGTGCCCAGCGCCCGTGCAGCGCGCGCCGGGGGGTCTGCGGCCGAGGCTCTGCGGCCCCCAGCCCGACCCGGGTCTGCCGCAACCGCTCGGACTGCGCCTCCTCACCTACAAACGACTCCTCGGCGCGCAGCCGGACCCCCTGCGCCTCGGTGCGCGCGTCCTTCCGCCGTCCCGCGGGCCGCTGTCTGTCCACTGATCCGCGTCCCAGCGGCCCAACCTTGAGGGGGTGGGGAGCGTGCGGGGCTCGGCGGCGGCGCTGCTGCCTCCCCAGCCGCCTGTGCTCCCTCCGCAGCGCCAGACCGGCCGCGCGGCTGCAGCCCAGAACCTGACTCACGGCGGCGGTGGCGGCGGGCGCAGCCACCTCCCCGCCTCCCGCCTCCTCCTGCCGAGAGGGTGGGGGCTGCGGGCCCCGCCGGAAGCCGCGACCCCGGGGAGTTGCAAGGTCCTGCAGGGATGGGACCCCTACAGCGCCCGACCAGGGTGCCGGCGCTACCTCCATCTCCCCGGACCCACTGTGTCTTCCTCCCCACCCCACCCGGCCGCATCCCTCTCGCGGAGCCCCCAGCCCCGTGAAAGACTAGCGGCTCCCGGAACCTCTCTATCTGCCTCTATTAACGCTCTCCCCATCGCGCTCCACCCCAGCGCCTGGGCCCTGCTGCCTCAAGGGACCCCCGCCCCTGGGTCCTACCCTTCTGGCCTGTTGACTCTCAGTTCCAGCGGCTCAGTTCCCTCCTAAGGAAGCTCCAGTCCCCTCCTGAAGAAGCTCCAGTCCCCTGAGCCCCAGCAGGCCTTTTACCTGAGTGCCTATCTCTGCCCGTCCTATCCCTAACCAAGTCACCAAGGCCCCCAAGGCCACCCTCCAGTCCCTTCCCTCCTTAGCCCACCAAGTCCAGGCCCTCCGACAAGTTTCAGAGCCCCCTACTCTGTTCCTTCCTGGCTGAGCCCACTTCTGCCCATCGGAGCTCCTGCCCCCTTTCCTGGAGTCTGACTTCACCCAGCCAGGGCCCCACTCCAGTTCACTCCCAGAGTCTGGGAGCATGCGGCCTCTCCTGCACAGACCCCAGGTCACACTCCCTCTGCCCGCAGGGCAAAGTGTCCCATTCCGAGCTCTGGTCCCATGCTGAGGTCCTGGCTGCTAAGGACACTTGTCTCCCTGAAGGCTGGTCCACTCACCTGCCCACAGCCTCTCTGCGATCCCTACCAGCCCTTCTGGGCCTGGTCCCCTGAGGCTTCTTTGTTCCCTGTGAATCACTTTTTCTAACCAATGCTGGTCCTCCCAGCCTCAGCCGCCTCCACTACCCCACCACATCCTCGCTCTCACGGTACGCTTGGCCCCAACTGATCTTCCATCCCCATAACAGTCCCCATGAGTCCCTCCCCAAAGAGAAAACTCTGGCCCTGCCTCCCTGCCTCCCTCCGAGTCCCCCACTTCACCACACAGGTGCCCTAAACTGGGTCCTCTTCACCAACCTCCAGCTCCCACTGAGCCCCGACCCTCTCCAAAGTCCCCGGAAGCTGAGGGTGCATGGCGGCCCCCGTTTCCCTCCCTCATCTCTCTCCAAGCCCTGTCTTCCCGTGAAACTCCTTTCTCCTCTGCCTCTCTAAATTGGCCTCCTGTGTCTCCGCAACCCTCTTTCCTGTCTGGAAGGCCAGTCCTGCTTGGGGTCCTTCTGTCCGCCTGTGCCTGAACCCCAGGTCATCTCTGAACCCTTTCTCTCCCCAAACCTCTGTTCTGAAACCTGATCCCCTGGAAAAGCCCAGCCCTCTGCAAGCCCCTCCCCTTTCCAGCCTAGTCTCCACCCCTCATGCCTGGGCTGACCCCTGGCATAGCGTTATCCACAGCATGCCAGGAACCCACAGCACAGGGCTGATCTTAAATGATGCTGATAAACCCTAGTGAGCAGGAGAGGTCATCAAGCATGAGGGGCCTCCTCCTCATCTCCTTGAGCACCCTGGCCATGCTCTCCCTGGAGCCCACAGGCCATGGGTGGATGGGGTCTGCCAGAGAACCAGGGTTCCGTTCTCCCTCCCCAACTCCCTCCTCCTTTCCAAGGGCCTGGCCCAGGGAAAACTGGACCTGGTGTCCTCAGGTGGGGCCTGATCTTGGGGGCCTCCCAGGCTGCGTGTGGCCTGTGTGCCATGCCCCCATGTCTCCCCAGCATCTGAACTGGGCCTACCTGACCAGCCACCACCTTCTGGGAGACACTGGCCTGCCACACAGCCTCTCCCCAGTGCTGTCCCAGTCTGCCCTGAAGGCCTCAAGCAGTGAGGAGGCCTCCACAGGAGGAGGAGAGGGTTGCCTGGGCCCGAGGGGCCAGGGCCTGCCCAGGGTCACTGGGTAGGTGACAGGGGAGCCAGGGCCTGCTCCCGGCCTCAGGCCACCTTGGGGCTGCCTCTCTCTGAGGCCAGGAAACACCACTGAGAGGGAGCCAAGGGTCACAGAGGTCACAGGGCAGAGCCAGGGCTCAGCCAAACTCAGCACAGCCAGCATTCATGTGACTGTACTGGGCTCCCCAAGGGCCTGGGCTCCAGCATACTCTCTGCTAGGGGTTTCTGGTTACAACCATGTCTAGACAGGAGGGACTCCAGGGTCCAATCACCAGCTAGAAAACCAGAGGAGCCTGGGGTCAGACTCCAGGGCCCCGAAAATCCTGCTGGGCGGGAGGGAGCCCTCAGAGCAACCCCAGGGCAGCAACCGTGAAGATGGGAGCTGGACGGAGCTGACAGGCTGCAGAGGGAGGGAGATGGGGAGAGTGGGACAGGGCGGGGACAACAGGGCACGGTTGCCTCCTTGCACCTCTCTGCCCCCCCCGGGCCTCAGTGCACAAAGCATCTGACGACGGGACATTTGTCTCCCCAGAAGCTCTGCCGGGCTCTGCTCGGATTCCAGGAATGCCAAACGTTAGGCATGTGTTTCCAGGCCTCCGTACCACCTCGGGTAAACGTTCTTGCTCCAGGTGTCTGCCATGGTGTGACTCTGGGGTGCAAGCCCTGGAACCCCCTTGGGAGGAAGGCCAAGGCAACCACCACCCTCAGGCGGAGGCATCAGAATAATGGCAAATGTCACATTCGCCTCATCTTCTAACCTGTTGGGGTGGGGCTCCAAGTGACTCCAGAGCTACTGAGCCCAAAAGGAACTGCGCTTACCACCACATGCCCACAAACTCCTACTTAGCCCTTAAAACCCCATGGGCTGCTACCACTGCATCCAGGCAACGCTCCCAATCCCTCCCCTCCCAGCGGAACAAGCACACTGCCTTCATCAGCCTGGGCATCGGTGACTGTGGCAACTGTGGCTGGAGGGGACTTCTGAGTCTAATCCCTGCAACCAGCAACCCTGGGCAGGCTTGACTGGCGCCAGCTCGGCTCACTGCGCACAAAGCTGCTTCTAGGGCCTGGGAAGCAAGAAGGCCCAGATAGGCCAGCCACCCATGCCACCTGGGGCCATTTCTTTCCCAGGATGAGAGGGCTACGGAGGGCGACTGGGAGGCCTGCTCTGATGGTCCCTGAGAGTGGAAACATCCTCTGTTCAAGTGCCATGGCTGCCTGGCTGGGCCACTTCCCTGAAATCACTCCTCAAGGCTGGCACTCATACTGGACACCCCGTCGGCCCCACCCTGCAGCCACAGCCAAGGCCACATGCTGCCGGCCACTGCTCCAGACCTGGGAACAAGTCAGTCCCCACTGGCCAACCAGGCTGGACAGCTGGCCACAGCCCTGGAGCCCATGGGCTGGGAAGGGCAGGGGGCCATAGGCCCAGGGCACCCCAAATGCTTGTCCTGGTGCTGCCCTGATTCAGCTGCCGTGCTGGCTTCGGACTACCCACCCCCCTCCCCATCCCAAGTTGGAGCCACCCCCTGCCAAGCAGAGCACATCAGCACAGAGGGGAGGCCAACAACTGTATTTCCACATCAGCTGGGGCTCTCGGTCGCCCAAGGGGAGGACAGCAGAAGTCAGCTGCAGAGGAAGGCTGACCCCAGCCCCTAGTCCCAGCCCCACCTCCAGGCCAATGCATGCCCCAGGGATGGGCTCAGTCCCAGGATCACCGCGCAGGGTCCAGAAGGTGGGTTTTATCCCCTCTCACTCCTTCCAGCTCATCCTCAGGCCTCCACTGGCCTCATCCACAATGGGCCAGGACACTGGACAGGTAGGGGTGGCAGAGCCCAGCTGGGCCCAAACTCCGCATAGGGGCCCTCGGGTAGGGCAGGTTTCCAAGGGAGGGTCCGGGAGGACGGCCTGGTGTGGGGTGGGGGCTCAGCCCAGTGGGCGCTGGTAGGGCTGGGGAGCGGACTCCCTGGAGATGAAGGGAGCCCCAGGATACACAAGCTCGGCTGCCAAGCTTGGGCGGGGTCTTCCAAGTGTATGGAACAGATCTGTGCTCCAGATCAGCTCTACCCCCACCAAACAGACGGACAGACGGACAGGTGGAGAGACAGACAGGTGGACAGGTAGGTAGGTAGGTGGCGTTTCTGAACCCAGGGAGGGGAAAACCACAGAACAAAACAGCAGGTCTGGCTTGGGCCGCCAGCTTCCAGGGCGCCCAGGGCAGTGGGCGGGCAAGTGTGTGAGTGTGTGTGACTACGTGTGGGAGGTGCCGGGGGGCCAGGGGCCTCCTCCTCTGGGACTCTCCTCTGTTTCTGTGCTGGCACGCCGACGGCTTGGGAACTAGAGGTGGGCAGCCTCGGCGAAGCCCACCCTGTTGTTGTCGCGGTCAAACACAGTGTAGTAGCGGCCGATGAAGACGTCGCCCAGGATCCAGAGTGGCCCGCTGGGTGGCGGGATGTCCATGCCCATGAAGCCGCTTAGGCAGAGGGTCTTCCCGGCCTGCGACACCTGGGACGGTCCTGGTGGTCAGCACCCAGGCCTGGCACCAGCCGCCCCCCAACCTGTTGCCGGCTCACCTGGGGCATGGGCCCCCCACCCACTCACCTTGAGCGTGTGCCCCCACCGCCTGCTCCCCTGGGGCATGTGCCCCCTCTCCACCTGCTCACCTTGAGCGTGTAGTCCTCTGGGGACAGCTTGTAGCCTTTGCCTCCCAGCTTCAGCGTGATCGCGGGCAGGGTGGACACCTTCTCACAGGGGATCATGTACTAAGAGGGGTCACAGTGGTGTCAGGGTGGTAGTGGAGGCCTTGGGGCTCCCCCTACCAGCCCCAGCCCCAGCCCCGGTCCCTGGAGCTCACCTCGCCCTGGATCAGCGGCACGGCCCCGATAGCCTTCTGCAGCTCGCGCACCTCATCCACGGGGCCCACCATGAGGGAGGTGCCTGTGTCCACAATGGCCTCACAGCCCTCCTTGCACAGGGTCAGCCCGCTGGCCACCTCCACCCTGCAGGGAGTCAGGGCGTGAGGCCCCTGCCTGGACTGGAGTGTGCTCTGGGAGCCCCTCTCCCATACCCCTCCCCTGGCTGGGT